GGTTTCGGCTTTAGGGGTTTAGGGTCTAGGGTTGAGGCTTCGGAGCAGTCTTTGGGCTTGCTGGAACTACTCGAGTTAGTGAAACCCTAAGAGCCGAAACAGCGAACACAAGACGAACCTGGCAGACATAGCGGTTGTAGGGTTGGGGGGTACTTTGATGGCTCGAGAGTTTGAGCTTCTGTATACATAGGCTTAGGGTTTAGGGTTTAGAATTTAGAGCTCTTACAGTGTAGAATTTGTCATTATGACGCACCCTTCAGGGCTCATACTTCGTGCTTCGAGGTTCATGGCTATTTAGACGTTTCGCGGCTACAGGTGGCATGTGAATAGCTATTGTTCCTAGATCGCTAAAACTCGGGTTTGCTTGAAATGCCACACCCTCACCCCTCTAAGCCCCTAAGCCCTAAACCCTAAACCCTAAACCCTAAACTCTAGACTCTAAGCCCTAAACCCTAAACCCTAAGCCCCTAAACCCAAGCCCTCACCCCAAACGGCTGAGGGTTTAGGGTTCACACCTTAAAGCCAAACCCTAAAACCCCAACCCCCCCTCCCCCCCTCCCCCCCTCCGACAAAACGTTTAAAACCCTTCCAAACCCTAAACCCTAAACCCTAAACCCTAAACCCTGAACCCTAAAACCTTAACCCTAAACCGTAAACCCTAAACCCTTAAACGCCACCCTACATCTGAGGATTCCATTCTGGAAGCCGTGGGCCAGCATCCGGATGTGGCAAGGCCCCGCGCTCTGCTAGCGGTTTAGGGCTTCGGGCTCAGGTTGTAGGGTCTGAGGTTCAGTTTTTAGGGGTTCAGGGTCTGAGGTTCAGGGGTTTAGGGTTTAGAGGTTCAGGGGTTTAGGGTGTTAGGGTTTAGGGTTCAGGAGTTTAGGGTTTAGGGTGTTAGGGTTTAGGGTTTTTAGGGGTTTAGGGTTTAAGGGTTTAGGGGTTTGGCGTTTAGGGTTTAGGGGTTTAGGGTGTTAGGGTTTAGGGCGTTAGGGTGTTTAGAGTGTTGGGGAGATAGACCCATGTAGAACCCTCATGGAACCACGATAATTACGAGGGAACACTGTTATACACCTTAATATATACCCATATAGAACCCTAAACCCTAAACCCTAAACCGTGGTATATAATATGTAACCTTTATAAAGTCCCAAACTGCAAACTGCAGAGCGTTGAAGCTCAAAGTTCAGGGTGTCGAGATCGTTGAGGTTGGGACTGTAGACAAGGATGTGGGTGGTGGTCAAAATTAGGGTCCCTTTTGGGGTACCCTAAATAATAGGTGCCGTATTATAATAAGGACCCAAAAAGGGACCATAATTTTGACAACCACCCATGTGCTAGAAGCCACAAGCTGAAGGTCATCATGGACGGCACAATTCGCCAGGCAGCCAACTGCTTGAGTGACCTAAAGCCGCAGAAGATCCCTCGTGGGATACTGAAGCCGGGTTGTGGGTGGATCGCAGTACCAGCTCGTTTTGGGCGCAAGCTGGCTGCAGGACGGCTGCGGCACGTTTGCCTACAATTCAAAATTTGGGCTGCCTTTGATTACCATACATGCTCGCATGACTAAAATTCGAATCGTTGCGAGCATGCAGTGCAGGTCTTCAGCCCCACTGGGAACGTTCTGATTCCACCGTCCGCACCCCCCCAATCCGGGTGAGGAGATCTTGGGGTTTATGCAAATGCAAGAGAACGTGAATGTTTGTATCAAGTACTATGATGCCGGCAGAAACACCACAATCGACCATATATTCTTTTTTGTAACTCTTGGCGCAAGTCGGACGAACTAAATTTCCTTTGCAACTGGCATGTTTCAGTACTTGGGATGCCACAAACTGCAGCAATACCGCGGGGTGCAAAACGGGTTTAGGGTTTAGGGTTTAGGGGCCTCAGAGGTTGCAGCACACGCGGCCGTGGGGGGAAAAACAATCCCATAAAAACACCCTCCACGAAGGAGCGCAACTGGCGCAGAGCCTGTGAGATCCCGCAACAACATAACATAGGGACCTTAATAATGACCTGAATTGTTTTGGGGTTCCTTATTATATTTATACTATAAAGGACCCCAAAACCCTGTTCTAATTATTAAGGCCCCTACCTTACCGAAATGAGGCATTCACAGCTGGCGCACTGGTTCCCGCTAAACAAGCAAGCCTGACCCACCTGCTTGACGAGCTTTATTGGGTTTAGGGTTTAGGGCTTAGGATTTTTGCGATTAGAAATGGGGATGTCCTTGCCTCATCAACCAATATCGTTTCGGAGCACAAAGGTTCCTCAAACGATGCCCGATATACATAATGTCAGGGCCCAAACAATTACCAATTGGGGGTTCCTTATTGTGATTATAGTATACTGGGCCCCCAAAACCTTATTTTACTTATTAAGGCTCCTATATTAGGACTTCATACAACTGTACAAGATGTATACAAATATATGAGTCACACTCCAGCTGTTTCTTCTCGCACCGGCAGAGTCCCGGACGATTGCGTCAAGAGTGCAGCGGATATGTAGAGCTCACCTTTGCTCATCACGGGTCTTTAGCACATCCTAAACCCTAAACCCTAAACCCTAAACCCTGAACCCTACACCCTAAACCCTAAACCCTAAACCCTAAACCCTGGACCCCTAACA